AACTAGCATCCATTTCTGTAGCAGCCTCTATCAGTTCCTTATTCCAATCTGATGCAGCATCCTTCTCTGCCAACATGACTGATAATACTGCCTTCACGAGCGGAGTTAGCCCACACTTGTAATTGGTTCAAACATCGCCTCATCGTGGCTTTTACTCTTGTTCTGGAACCGCAACACCAACTCTTGTTAATTGGCATGCTCCTCAGCCTTGCCCTGTGCCAGCTTAAAAACTGACACACATTCTCTACCTTGAATATCCTCCATCGGTAGAGACGGAAAAACCCCTATCTTTACTTCTGCTTCCACAGTGCTCTTATTCATTTCCACAATCTTTTTTATAATTTTGTTGACCAAATGTATAATCGTAGGACTAGACCTCTGAGCCTCACAGTACCTGGTATCATAGCAGGCCCTAGAGTAAAGTCATTTACATTGTTGTATTGAGATATTACTATCTAATAAATCTAGCATTGTCTTATGTAAAGGTTTTACTGTGTATAACTACTAGTACGTAAATTAGATAACTTAAGATATATATAATAAATAGGTTTCCTTTACAAAACACTATACGAGATGACTCATAGTATAAAGGTTAAAGATTATTTAGGTTTAATCTTTTAAAAGATAAACAGAGGTATTTATAAATTAATAATTAGCAAACTTAGTTTTTACAAACTAGAATATTTAATTATTAGTAACACCAACCTCAGGACGACCACTTGCAGCATTTGATTGAACAAAGACATATGTAGTACCAATCGAAAGCGTGTGTCAATACGAGCACATTGGTACTTTTACGTAGGTAGTCCAATGCCTATGTGGGGGCAGCCATGTAGCCCTCCGTCGACGCTCTAACGATATTAGGAAGAACTCAACAAAACGCAGGTCCAACAAGGAAATCGCGGCAATGACCCGGCGCCATTACTATTATCAACTGGTCATGGGTAAACCGCCAACCTCAAATCAGGACAATGCCAGATACGACAGCTTCAACCGCTGCTTCGAGTCTACACCAATCCGGCTCTGTGCTATGATTGTATCGAATACGTACATGTTTACATTGCTCGACTACCGCACCAACGGATGTCTCTGCCGTGTCTGCCCCGGTGGCCACAAATTCACCACCAGCCACTTTTCCTGCATCCAACAATTGATCCGACGCATCCTGGTGGGCCCGAAACTGCCTCTCATAGGCCCTCCAGCAATTACTGGAGCGCCACGACTTCCAAGGTATCTGGACCCTCTACGAACACCTCGGATCCTTTCTCCAGCATGTAGAACAACCCCCTTACCCACACCCGTCTCTGACATACTTCCCCATACCCCGGCTAATCGCGCTGTTGAAGTACTACTTCCAAATTTCGGACCAAACCAAGTCATCGCGCTCATTAATTCCGCTTATGATACTTCCTATCTAGGTCAGCCAGCACATACCGAGTGCATCCGTGGTCTGGCGTGTCATTGGCTCACCCCCAACCTCGCTCCTCGACCGAATTATGACGGATATCCTCCATCGTCGACTCACTTGGCCCAAGCTTCAAACGGGAATTTACTGGCCACTTCTTCCCATCGATCTTTCCCGAATCACTACAACGGCTATGAGAGTCATACTATATGTACATACATTGTACTTATTCCTTATGAAATAAATAATATTATCCCTATTAGCGATTGCAACTGTTGGATTCAACGTGGCTTCACCATGGGCAATTCCGGAGTAAGGCTTCATATTGGCTTCATAATGGCTTCATAATGGCTTCATAATGGCTTCATATTGGCTTCAAATTAAAATTATTTAAAAAAAAATTGAAAACAAATTTTCATATTGGCTTCAAGTTGGCTTCAAGTTGGTTTCACGCTGGCTTCAATTTGGCTTCACACTGGCTTCAATCTGGCCTCACACTGGCTTCGAGTTGGTTTCAATTTGGCTTCAATTTGACTTCACGTTGGCTTCCCGTTGGCTTCACGTTGGCTTCCCGTTGGCTTCACGCTGGCTTCAATTCGGCTTCATATATGTTTGTATATATGTATGTATATCACTATACTGTATGACTAGTGCGTGTGTTAGGTTGGTGTAGGCAAGGTTGATGCGTAGGTTGCAGTCGTTGAAGTATCTACCTGTGAAATTCCAAAGCAACCTTAGTGTTACTTTAGATGAAGGGCTCGGGGGGCCGCAGTTGTGTTAGAGAGTGCGATTTAGTGAAGGGAGAGGAGGGCATCACGCTCCATCGATTCAAGCCAGCATGGACAAGTAAATTGCGTGGCCGTACGAACCAATAAGCAACGATGCGGGTATGTAGCAAATATATTACAGAAAGCCAAATGAGTGTCTTCAAGAATGAAAAGCGTCCACGTACAGGAGGTGTCCCTGTTTTATTACTACCGACACCTATGGAAGAATCAAGTGCTGATGTCTAACCTAAAGTAGAATCTGAATCTAAAGTGCTTTCGTTGGTAGCTAACCCTGACAATGATACGAATGTTATGGTAAATGAGAAGTTGCTTGTTGTGTCTTGCGATAAAGACAGAAATAGTAAGTGTGATAAACAGAATGTAAAACAAATCGCATTTGTAATTGCATCTGAAAACATGCCAACAGCATCATCACCAGCAAAGATCGATTTATTGTCTTTGGCGGCGACTTCCACACGGGGCGGAGAGCGAGTCCAGGAAGACGTGGATATAGCTAAAGTATTCAAGATAGCACAAATAAGTGGTCGTGTCTTGTTGATTCATAATGGATTTCGTTCACTAAGTGATATAGCATCTCAGTACTTACAAAACATTCGTGCACAGAACATGAATAACGATGGATGGGTTGCGAATGTCAGTGAGTATGGAGCTGATCTCATTTTCACGCGAATCATATACTTTTCGGCAAGTACTACTCCTGCCATGCAAACAGTGAATATAGTACTTGCTGGTGCATGGACTGATTTGCTAAAAACTAGGAGCAATTTCTACATCACATATAGAACACCATTGCCAAGGCGATATACTTGTACACGATCGAATGAAGCAGAACCACAGAGGCGATATACTTGTACACGATCGAATGAAGCAGAACCACAGAAATTAATCGTACACACACGCCATAACAGAACATTTAGTACATGGCCAGATGCTTTGAAATCTGATACTAGTGTATTAGAATCCTTAAACTGACAGTGGAAGTCGTTGAATAGAAGCTTTAGTGATTTAGGAGCAACGGAGAAATCAACAGATGTGAAAATGAATGACTGGCGGGACGGTATGCGCAAAGCAATGTCGACAGAGACGACGATACGTCCGAGTAGTTTAACTACAAATAGCGCGAAAAAGAGCAGTGATAGTGGAAGTGGTGAATTATGTAGTGGAAAGACGAAGACGAGTAGTAAGTTATGGAGTATAAGCATAGGCATGCTACTTCTGAATACACCACTACTAAATCGCTCGCACTATCAGATATTGCTCTAGCAAAGTCTCAAACAGTCGGAGATACTACTACGAAATTTGTGAGTCTTAGAGTGACAACAGCAGATGAGGAAGGACCGAGCTCTGCCAAAAAGCTCAAGTTCTGACTAACGTATGTCGTTGATATACTCATATGATTGTCTACGTATATGTATGAATTGTCTACGTATATGGAGGAAGGTATATACTCAATCACATTTATACATAGCACACAACCATATGTGTATATAGCAATGAATCACCTAAATAAATTGATATATTCATGCATACATAAATAATGTACATTGGGCGGGTGTATAATATGTGTGTATATAATATATTGTAATATATAAACATATAAACATATATTTAACAATAACATAATATACACATACATATATTCTTTTCATACATAAATTATATATATATATATATTCGGTGTGTTTACAATATGTGTGTATATAATATACTATAACATATACATATACATAGTGAGCATGCACACATATATCCATTCAGATCTAAACATATAATATACTGATATGCATTCTTACTTATACTCATGCGCATACATATATTCATTTATAGTCGAATAAATACATTTTATTTGTACAGCTTAGATTTCTTCGCATAATGTATTGTCCGTTTGGAATGCAGCGCACGCCTTAGCATGGGGGAGTAGGCTTTTAAATTCACGTTTAGATGGTTTGCAGATGGGCGCTGTGCACCTATAGAGTTTTCTAATTAATTTGATCGCTGATTGTCGTGGCAATGGCAGTGCTTGCGAGTAAGGTGCAGTAAAGACATTATCTGTATCAGGCTGAACTGGTATTGTGGTGTATACACGTTTGTAAATCTGATTGTGTGTGTCCGTATGTGCTATTCGTTTCCGAGTATGTGTATGTACTGGAGTTTGTTGGGTGTGCGTGCAGTTATATTCAAGGTATCGCCGGAATCTCCGGGCGTGGTAACATAATTGCAGGTATGTTTGGTTGTCGATTGCATTTGGTAAAGGTAATTTTGGTGGTGGGGAGCGTGGCTCTTGGTCATCGCGTACTACAAGGCGTATATATCCATGTACTAGTGTTTCCATTTTTGTAGCACGGTTGAAATCCGGCAAGTGCGGTCGCGAATGCATGTGTAATACAAACTCTTGTATATGTGATGCCTGTTGTATCTCCGGCTCCTGCGTCTCATTTATGAGTTCGTAATTACTGGTATCTTCTGCGAACATCCCACACGTCTTAGCGTGACTTGACACGCTGATGAAAAATGCATCACAGCCTCCGCATTGTTTACGATTTGAATTCTTCAATGTCTTATGTCCATAGATCACTTCGCCTTGTTGTATACTTTCGATGACTTCGTCTTGTTGTATACTTTTTTAATGTTCTCCAGAGTTGTAGTATACTTGTCCGCCCAATTATTCCCGACGTCGCGTAGTAAGCGTTGTATGGCAATTTCGGCGAAAACTTTATCTGCTGTATTTATACCCTGTTTATACCAATTGACGGCATTTCACAGCAGCCTGTTCACTTAGTTACACAGTGTCGTTTCTACCACGTTGCCTATTTTTTTTTTTTGCAGAAACGTGGTTTTAGCGGATCATGATACTCCGGATGCACATCCTCAGCTCGAGCTATTTCAAAAATGAATTGATCTTGTTGATCGCCACCGTTCTGTGGCAAAGCCAAAACGACATTCACACCATTGCAAAAGCTCAAGACGGCTTCTACCAGAATGTTGTCTTGTACAGTTTCGGTTTCGTTTGTAAAAACACGTTTTGTTCCTGTTCCCGTCTCTTTTATCGTGGCAGTTGAATCTATAAACTCAATGTCAAAAGGCAGCAGCTCCTTGTCGTCAGGATATCGGCCGGCGTAGGGCACAACTACAGGTAGGATTCCCGTTTGTGAGTGGATAATCATTCTGGGTTCAGTAATATAAACATCGTGTATCTCTTGGGCGCCGTGTACCGTGGTCTCCTTTTTCATTACTTTACACTTATCCTTGAAAGGATCTGTTCTTCCTACCAAGGCCACAGCAGTGTTCTTGATCGTTTTTGTGCCCGTTTTTTTTGTTGGGATCCCAGCACACCAATGTCTTGAAGACGTCCAATAGACAAGCAATGTTATTCATCGACTGTATCCAGTTATTGATAAACCGAGCTACAAATGAAAAATGCGCATCGAGCACAGACTTCCCTGTGCGTAGAGGATTTATAAGATGATTTTTAGGTAGTATTTCAAATCATGAGCGGTTAAATGGGAAGTATATTTCAAATCACGAGCAAATATGGTAGCTAAAATCAAATCTAGTCCATACCCTGTTGTGAATTGGTGAATAGCCATCGTTCGATACGTAAATCATAACCCATGTCTTTCAACTCTCTGTTTATCCGCAAACACTTCGTAAAGTTTTTTGTTGCTGAAAATGCTCCGGCATTGTCGCTCTGCAATATAATTACATTTTTATTCGGAAATCGTTTCTTCATGTGCAGGACTAGCCCCTCGATTACAGTCTGTACACTGTCACAGTTTTGGTTGTGGTCCGTTATTATCACATCCAAGTATCCAAAAGTAGAAATTTATTATGGCAATTAATTACATATTCGTGAGTATCCAATTGGTGGTGTAAATACGAATGATTACAATCAATGCTTACCCGGTATTGATCGGTCCGCCCATCTCGTCTTTGTATGTTATCGCGGCTCTGAGTAGACTGTAACCCTTCTTACCAAAGTGCTTAGTCAGATACTCGTTGTACCATTGGTATAGAATTTTTTGTTTATGGTCGAGGATAATGTGCAATGTTTTTGTGTTTAGACTCTTTTCACTTGCTCTATATAGTGATTTTGCCAGCTACCTCTGGCTGTATGGTTTTGAAACCTTAATATCTCATTATTAATGATATCTAGTACTGGTAGAATGGAGGCGAGATCCACAAAATCCATTTATTTCCCGGATTCATCTGTAGCTTGCGTATCAGCTGGAGGCGACAGAAAAGATCGGAAGTCGAGGCTCTTATGTAAGCCAGGCATGTCTGCATTCACAGGGTCAATTTCAGTTCGTGTGTTGTGCACATGCTTCTCTATTCGTGGGACAAGTGATAGCATCTTTATACGCTCCATATTTAAACTCATGTGTCCTCGTGCATTTGTCCCCCCCATTGCTCGCTTAAGGAATCGAAAATAGTCACCGTCACATCGTGTTGCATCATGAACACAATGTTTAGTATAATCTTTCTTGATGAATATTTGTATCTTCTTCACTTTGTCGTCGAATACTCAATAGTCTTTACAGAAATCAATCAAGAAATCAGTATTATTGATGAAGGTAGTGAAGTAATAGGATAGTCTAACTTGTTGTTTAGCTTCCTTGGTGACTAAATTTAATAAACTATAGAACGGCCTTATACCAATTTGCTTGTATGTTTCATCTCCAAATGTAATTGGGGCGTGGTCGGAATACACCAGGTAGGATTAAACTTAGGTTTATTAGAGTTCATAAGTTTACCAGAAGGACCTGATAAACTTAGTTTTTGCCGATTAATAGAATCAGCACATGTCTCATCAATTAGAATTCAGCGATTATAAATCGGCACATGACTTATTAATTAGAAGAGTCATGATTTTTACGATTACTAATGAAAGAACAACGTCTCCCTCTCTATAGGGGCTAAATGTTGAGATACAGTTGTCGTAACGTGCACTTACTACAGGGGTAGGCTGTGGTATGATGTCCGCGCTCTGTGTTTGTGTATCGTTTGCTCGTTGTGCTCTTGTAGAGAGATGTGCTCGGGAAGTTTCCGGCCCAAAGTGCTTGCCATATTTACGTAGCATATACGGCACATCCTTTAAACGAGCTTTCAAATATCGGGGGATTCCGTAGTTGCCCTGCGATAAATCCAGTTGTCATACCCGATATATCATGTACCCAGTTTATAGCGAACAAGAAACTCGGAGATCCGGTCTAAAATATGTGTGCAAATGGAAAAAAAGATAGATATATTTAGCTCCAGTGACATTAGGGGCTACTAAGTGCACTTTATTGTATCTTTCAGTAAATCACGCTACATATCCTAGGCTGTAAACTGCACGTTCGTACATCTTCTAGCCTTCAAGGAGATCTTCTATGTCTATCTGGGCCCGGATAGCATCATGGGTCCCAAACTGAGATATCGGGGTGGCTGGATCGTCGTTGTTTTCGTCGGTTGGTGTTTGTGGCCTTTCGCGTGTAGGACTCGATTCATACCGCGACTTTGCATCATCGAGTGCTTGTTTCACCAATGAGATCTTCCATGTCTATCTGGGCCCGGATAGCATCATGGGTCCCAAACTGAGATATCGGGGTGGCTGGATCGTCGTTGTTTTCGTCGGTTGATGTTTGTGGCCTTTCGCGTGTAGGACTCGATTCATATCGCGACTTTGCATCATCGAGTGCTTGTTTCACCAATATTGTTACGTGTGCTTTAGGTTGCTGATCAGCAAGCATGAACTCAAACAACAGCGCAAATATTGATCTATGAGTATCTACTACTAGTACGTACGGCCACATCTGACAAAATATTTATGTGCTGCAGATTTTCCTGTTGCCTTTCTTCGACGTTAACAACGAGTTTGTAAAGTAAAGAACTAGCCCGTACATCGTTGTTATAGAGTGTCCTACCACAGTTGCTTTACCAAACCGCGAACGTGTCCCACGATTGCGTCGCGTTTGAAACCTTTATATTGTAAGGTGGCAAAAGACATCTGATTATAAAACGGCTGCATCAATCTCCAAGGGCCGTATACAAATTGTCTATTGTAGTTTTGTACTTTGCAATTTGTCCTTTCAAACTTCCAGCTTTGCCACAGCCAAGACATCAATTTCTTCATAGTCAACAACTTCTTTCCCACAATGTGAACGCCTGGTTGGACCCTGAAGAGAACTCTGTCCACGATTTATTTTAACCTTTTTTCTGACCCTTGTGATTGGTCGTGTGACAACAACATTCACTACCCTTACCAGCGTAAGTATAGTCATCGCCACAAGGAGTCTCGCATCCAAGACATCGGCTATATTTGTCGCACTGGCCTCTTTTGTGGCGATGTGTTGCACTAGGGCAGGGCCAATATGTATCAGGCTGTGCTGGAATAGTACTGGATTCCGACGCCATGCCTGTGTAGCCAGACGTATACTAATAAACAGCAGCACAATATGCACACGCATTTCTCGAAATAAATATGAACAGATCGTACTATGTATGCATATTTGAATCATATTTTACCATGCACCATCATAACTTTCAACCCTTTTTGGGCGGGCTTTTGAACTTTGAAGAATCTATTTATATATCAGAAAATCTATTCTTAGCACAAATCGGTCACATAATAACAACCGGTTGTAGCTACCTAGTATAGCTATCTTTTGAACGGACATAGCTACACTAGTACTTCCAACGAGAGATCGTCTTTGAGATGCCTAAACTAGCATTCTCTACCTTCTGATTGGTCATTTATTGCAATGCTGGGTTAAGTCAGCAGCTGCCAAAGTTAACGCATTCTGGGTCATTATAATAGATATATATATATTATACACATTTTATATATATTATATTATATATATATATATATATATATATATATATATATATATATCATTTCTTAGGTGTGCCTTTGGGCTACAACTTACTTCATGCAATACCAAACGAACGCCCGCAGACAATTACATGGTTATGCTGTCAATAGGCGTGGTGTTCCTTTTAAACCTCTAACGTATGGTGCAACACCATAAATTGCTTAAGAAACACTTGCCTACCACACTGGATGACGTTGAAGATATGTGGCTTATCAATTGAGATGGGTTCAAACTCAAATAAATATCTGCATGAATTTTCAAACTGGAACACTTCCGTTTAACTTTTTCTTTGGCCGCTATAGTGAATTACAACAATGGCTGATGAAACTGCGCTCGAGAAATACGTGACCCCGTGGCTGCAAACAAGCACATGCAAAACGGTTGTCTCTGCTGTTTACTCGAGCACAAAGTCGCGTCTTGCCAAAAGCACAAGATGTAATATTACAAAGATTATTGTTCAGTGCAAAGTTAGAGATTAAGTTAACATTATTACAGAAAACGCCAATGGTGCAGAACTCTTTTATACGACAATCGCTTTAACTCAGCACTCATCCAAGCAGCAGCCATCATCACGGGCACTAAATACCCTCGGTTTCCCAAACATCAAACAAACTTACTTCACTTTTGCGGCCTGCTCCCCGCGCGACCATTCGTGGACTACCTCGGAGGTTGCCTGGGAATACAACTCGACTCAATGGCCAGCACAAATCCACTTACCCCTCTGACGCGACCCGCCTGGGCCCACGAAAAACCATCACTGCACTTCCCGTACAGTATCTATGCTCACCTGAAAACTGTACACAAAACCACGGGCGGGCGTACACCCGACCATGTAGCCCTCCACCAACGCTGTGACGACATCAGGAAGAACTCAACAAAAAGTTGGTCAAACAAGGAGATCGTGGCAATTGCCCGGCGCCAATACTACTACCAACTGGTTATGGGTAAACCGCCAACCTCAAACCAAGACACAGCCAGACACGACAGCTTCAATCGCTGCTTCGAGTCTACATTAATCCGGCTCTGTGCTATGATTGTAACGAATATGTACATGTTCACATTGCTCGACTACCGCACCGGCGGCTGTCTTTGCCCTGTCTGCTCCAGTAGCCACAAGTTTACTACCAGCCGCTTTGCCTCCATCCAACAACTGATTCGACGCATCCTGGTAGGCCCGAAACTGCCGCCCATTGGCCCTGACCTCCTTCAGCAATTACAGGAGTGCCACGACTTCCACGGTATCTGTACCCTCCACGAACACCTTGGATCTTTTCTCCAGCACGTTGAAGAACCACCGTACCCTCACTCGTCTCTGACACATCAACAGATGTTCCCTATACCCCGGCTAATCACGCTGTTGAAGTACTACTTCCAAATATCGGTTCAAACCAAATCATCGCGCTTGTTGGTTCCGACTATGATACTTCCGATCCAGGCCAGCCAACACATACAGAATTCATCCTTGGTCTGGTGCGGCATTGCTTTACCCCCCATCCTCGCTTCTCGACCGGATTATGACGGATAACCTGGTCCTTCTCGGTATTTCGTACTCTGCACTAACCCATTTCGCGGCACTGCACGGCGCAGACCCGATCCGTACCACACAGGTGGGTACTCTACTTAGTAGGTCAGCAAGCGAATATATGGAACATTCGATAGTAACAGTATTTTGTCAGCACCTGCCCGAATTGACTCAGTACATATCTTCCATTGTCGACTCACTTGGCCCAAGCTTCAAACGGGAATTTACTGACCACTTCTTCCCATCAATCTTTCCTGAACCACTACAGCGACTATGAGAGCCATACCATATGTTCATACATTGTATCATACTTACTTGATATTTTTGAAATAAATAATATTATCCCTATACTGAGAAAAGTGATGTTTACGAAGTAAATAACACACACAGTGCTCCTAAAACCAAGATCTCATTCTTTTGCTCATTTGTTATGGACTCACAAATCAAAAAAGTTATTGACATAACATTCGACGACGGCTACACTTACAACAAAACCCATCTTATGGGATGCATTTCATGAATACCCGCGACTTCCTTCAAATCTTTAAATCAAAAATGGAGCGAGCGGTCACATAAAAATACACGAGATAAACTGAAGGGGTTTTCTCACGTTACTGCAAACTATATGAATCTGAAATACCCTATCTGCCACCTGATTCTCATGTTACAAAACTATCTGATTTGCTCACAAACAGTGAATAAGCTCAGGCTCTAATCCTACATAAAAAATGTATAGAGCCTACATCAGAGATGGTTACTGGACTAAATACTAAACGACATAAGAGTACGACATGAATCTCGAACTCGTACATGTGTGCACATACTTACATAGGTAATGCATGACCGAAACCGTTTTACTTTGGTTTTTGCTTTACAACCAAGATCGTTCCTTCGCGGACGTTCGTAGCTCTAAAGCTACTGGGGGCTATGTAGAAATACGGCCTCAGGTTAGTCTAAAAATTAAGATCAAATGAGATAAGATATTGGCTTTTAATTTTTATCTGTATTTAAATAATTAAATACATGTTCTATTTCCAAATCAAAATCTATTAGTATTATCTCGTATGAAATAAATGATTTTCGGAGTTATTTTATTTACTATTGTATTGTTGTTGCTTCGCTGAATTTCCGCGGGAAGTGTTTACCGTTCTGTATGGTCCGGTGGCTTGTTGCTTTGTTACCTGTGTTTATGAGGGGTTAAAGCGGTGTTTGGTAGTCAAGTTTATTTTGTCACGTGTGGACTTATTTGTGCTTATTCCGTCATATGAGGAATTGATTTCTCACGTGATCTCAATGAGATGTTCGGTCCAAGTGACGTCACCTTGATGTTCGGTCCTATTGATTGTATCTCTCGTATACCTTTTTGTTATCAAGTGTGTTCAAAGCGTTAGGAAGAACGTATTATGTTCAATAGTGTGTTCTCATCGTTAGTAAGGACGTATTGTGTACAATGTGCCACTTGACATGTACCACTCAGTCTGTGGTTGTTTATACCCTCCTATGGGGAATGACTGATCTTTTGTGTACGTAGTCTTGATGTCTGTGTGTATTCATTACATTGCATGCTGTGCACCCCTTATTTCGATTTGAATCTTATGAGTATGTTTTCTAGGTAGATCTTGTAGCTTCCTTTCTTTATGAATGCTCGATTTCCTAGTTTGCACCTTCTCTAAATTCAGCTAGTTTGTGATTCTGTGCTCCATTTGATGTTTGTGATGGAGTGTGATGTTGCTACGTGTCTCCTGTTAATCACTGTTTTGTGATGGAGTGCGATGTTGCTACGTGTTTCCTGTTAATCACTGTCATGTTGCGTTTTGGTCACGTGTGGCTTATTACTACAGTGTTCACTTCGAGTTCTTGACTTGGTTGTCACTCATTCACTTCACGTTCAAAGATCTCCTGCTGTGTGATCTATGACCATGTTCGTACGTGTACCACTTTCTGATTGAACTGAAATGTCGATGTGATTGTGTGATCATTGGTGTGTTCCCTGTCTTGGAACTGATCTTTCGTGAATTGTATATTGTAGCTTGTACACGTTCACTTGTTATATTGTGTTTATAAGCATGCCTTTGCGTATACAAATCTTTTATTGAACTTAAATGTCAATGTGAATTTTAATCGTCGGTATGCTTCACTTCGCTGAACTAATTCTTCGTGAATTGTGGACTGTAACCTTTCGTTTCAGTCTGTGTTCTGTCTTTATACTTTGCACCGTGATACCTGATGAATTATTCTCTATGTGTGTTTGTCCCCTTTAACACTTTTGATATTCCCACTCATTGATTCAACGCAAGATGCGTTATGAATGTTCTTGGTTTATCAGTTATTGGTTCTATTTCACTTGAGAATCTTTGGTGCTATGTTCTGTCTTGATTGATTGCTCTTTGCATCAGCTGCGGTGTGTACCCGGAACACTGTGTCTTTGTTAATCTTATGTCTAGCCTACCTCTTTAATGTGTCGCTAATTTGTGTGCATCTCGATTTCAATTGCACTGATTCCTGAGCTTGTGGCTGTGTTCTGAAAACATTAACACTCTTGTGTGTTGTGTAATGTCATACACTTGATGTACTCCTGTGTCTTGTTCTACTTTTATTGTTCGTGTGGTAATATTTTCCACCTTGAAATTATAAAATTGTGCCCTACAATGGTATCTTTTGTGTGGAGCTAATTGGCATCTGACTGGACGCGTTTTCCTTTTGTTGTCAAATCTGCAATGTACTTGTGTAGCGTTATATTGATATGTGCATGTAATGCTTGTATTAATTCTGCTTTGATCGCGTAGTGAATCTGCATCATTAAATGTATCTCATTGTTGTGAAATTGGCACCTCTTCCATTGTGATTACTACGTTTCCTTACTAGTTTTTGAGCTTCGTTGATTGTCTAGTTTCAATTAGGCTCTATGACGCCTTCTATAATATTGTAATGTTATTTGTTAGATAGTTTCTAGTGTCCTTGCTATTTATCTTACCAAGGCTATGCTCGCCGTTGTTAGGTCTTTCTGTTCTGATCATGAATTAACAGTGTTGTAGCTTGTTGGAGTTTTCTACTTGTAAAATCACAGTGACACTTCCTTGTATTTTTACGTCCCAAAAATCCCCAACATTGATAATTCAATCTTCTTGTCACTTTTAGGACTGATTTTCTCTTAGCTAGTCCTAAAACACTCACAAGACCTTACCTTGTCAGTCTTCAGGGTCGTGCTCGTGCAGGACCTGCTTCTTCTTGCTTCTTTCTGGTTCCAAACTCCCGAGTGTCTTCTTCCACTTGTTTTGCTCATTGATTACTCCCCTGGGTATATTTTTGCTTCCGGACTCGGTTATTCTTTGGCAACCAGCAATTTGCAGTAGAATACTTTTGCTTGGCAGTTCTTAATAAACTACCACTTCCTTGTATTATGTTCTAATACTCGCCAGTGGATTCCTCACGTTGTACTATCTTTGTTTGACCTATCTAAGTAAGGATATTGTAAAAAAAATGTAAAGTATGGAGGGTAGCTGAAAGGTACGAGACAAAAGATACAATAGACATCGTCTCAAGTACGGTAATCTCAGCTAGGAATACAAAAGTCCCTAGTCTGAGAGAATTGACCTGAGTCTTTATTTGTGTTTTCACTAGACTCAGGATATACTTGAGTGTTTCTCTCATACGCGGAGTCACGGTATAGATTACCGGTTCTACCGCTAATATTTCTGATGACTCTAATATCAGAAATATTCCAATCCTAATTCCAAAACTCAGTATTTGATAACCCTGGGTTTTGGGTTTAGGATTGGCCTTTCTGATAATCAGGCCCCTGGATGCCACATTTTCCCTTCAAGATCATTCGCGGAATACATAGGAAGTTGCCTGGGAATATAACTCGACTCAATGGCAAGCACAAACTCACTCACCCTTCTATCGCAACCCGCCTGGGCCCACGACAAACCATCACAGCGCCTCCCGTACAGCATCTATGCCCACCTGAAAACTGTATGCAAAACGGGCGGACGTACACCCGATCATGTACCTCTCCGCCGACGCTGCGACGTCATCAGGAAGAACTCAACGAAACGCTGGTCCAACAAAGAGATCATGGCAATTGCCCGGCGCCATTACTGCTACCAACTGGTCATGGGTAAACCATCAAACTCAAATCGGGACAAAGTCAGACACGACAGCTTCAACCGCTGCTTCGAGTCTACGCCAATCTGGCTCTGTGTTATGATTGTAACGAATATGTACATGTTTACATTGCTCGACTACTGCACCGATGGCTGTATCTGCCCTGTCTGCCCCGGTGGCCACAAATTCACCACCAGCCACTTTACCTGCATCCAACAATTGATCCGACGCATCCTGGTAGGCCCGAAACTGCCTCCCATTGGTCCTGACCTCCTCCAGCAATTACTGGAGCGCCACAACCTTTACGGTATCTGGACCCCTCACGAACACTTCGGATCCTTTCTCCAGTATGTAGAACAACCCCCTTACCCACACCCGTCTCTGACACATCAACAGATGTTCCCCATACCCCGGCTAATCACTGTTGAAGTACTACTTCCAAATTTCGGTCCAAACCAAGTCACCGCCTGGATCGGAAGTATCATAGATGGAGATACTTTCGATCCAGGCGGCCAACCAGCACATACCAAGTGTATCCGTGGTCTGGTGCGGCAACGGTGCACCCCAACCTCGCTTCTCAACCGAATTATGACGGATAATCTGGTCCTACTCGGCATTTCGTACTCTGCATTAACCCATTCCACGGCACTACACGGTGTAGACCCAATCCGTACCACGAAGGTGGGTACTCTACTTAGTAGGTCAGCAAGCGAATACATGGCACACTCGATGGTGTCAGTGTTTTTTATCAGCACCGGCCTGAATTGACCCAGCGCATATCCTCCATAGCCGACTCACTTGGCCTAAGCTTCAAACGGGAATCTACTGACCACTTCTTCCCATCGATCTTTCCCGAACCACTACAGCGGCTATGAGAACCATACCAAATGTACATACATTGTAACTTATCTCCTTTGAAATAAATAGTGTTATCCCTGTATAATAAATATACTCGAACAATATTTTGAGAACTTATTGTGAGCAAATCAAGGTTTGTACATTACACCATATCATATTGAATTCAATAGTACACAATATTGCCTATGATAATTTTTTCTTCTTCTTTGGTATATGGTAAAAAAACAGGCAATAACATCAAAAGCCAAGCTCATCCACCACAATTTATATCAGACAAGCAGATTTTCGATTTAATGGGGGCAGATCGTTTTTTTATATGACAAAGCAAGAAAACAACCCCAATGTAGTTATCGCGGAATTCATCTGACCCAACAGACAGTGGTGAACATATCGGAATAATATGCGAACGATAAACAGAACTACTACTGCTTGAGGTACTAGCGTGACATACTGGGGTTGGAGCTCGTTCAAATTGCCTTCGACGGTGGCAATCGTAAATATTAAACGTGCAATCATAAATATTTGATGTACAAGTAGCACGTGGCTCTCCGCTTGGTAAAGAATCAGCCTCGAATGGAGTACGGTATCATCAAACGGCGATGATGAGCGCTAAGTCATATTGAGGGAGAAGTTGTTCCAATATGATACTCTCAATTCTCGTTATTTCAAATATTGATTTGTAGAGAGATCATGGACGGTTATAGTTCATCAGCTGCTCCCTGTGAATATATGCTTTATTTACTTATCGACATCCTAATCATTCAAAAATAAAAGCTTTTTCTCGACTGATATAATCGCAAACAGTCGTTAAATCTCTACATGCTGCAAAGAACATTGAAAAACTCACTAACAGATAATTTTATTGTGATCTTAAATTTCCAAGTGAGGAAGTTTAATAATATACTGAACAGTCAGAGTTTATTTTAGATTGCAGCTCATCATCAAACACAATATTTTGGTCCCGCGTTTTCCTGCACTATTGCGTTGACTAGATTACGATAAATAGTTTATCAGGCTCAATACGGCATCTATTGAATAGATGATAACTTAGATCAAATACAAACCTTACCGAGTATAATCCTGAACAGTCGGCGTATATTTAATTCCTCAGAGTTTTAGAACAGTTTTTGTACACAGGAAAGCATAGCGTTGGAATTCTTATGTTTTGACGTCAAAATTTCACTTACTTATATACACAAATGCGTAGACAGCTGACTAGCATGGACCCGGTTGGTACGTATAGCCTATTTATACTTTTGGGGCAGCATGTAAGTTTTCTCCTCATCTCATCACTTACCGTCTTTATAAATGTCTTCAATAAATTGAGACTTGCTCCAAAGAGCGTGCTATTGAAACGTGCGGAAGAAAAACATATGGCCAGAAGTTTGTGTTCTGCTTTGAATAGGTACTAAGCCTCTCAACATTTGGTTTTTAATTTTTCGCGGACAATGCTGACCAGCAAAGTTCTACATAAATTTACACGCCACCACGGGACATATTCATGATTCCCCCCAAAAATTGAAAATTAATCTGAATGATCCTCAAGCAACACTACAACAGAGACGGCCTAAGACTTACTCGAGGCGAACGTATATTTACACGAAAGGGCAAACAGTATGTGTTACATATGGACTGAAGAGCTTCGAAACGGCCTGTACTGGCTATAAGGGAAATGCTGGGGGCATGAGAGCTTTACAGGCGGAAAAAGACATTGACGGATTTTTATGCAAACTGTATAGTATCGCAGGATTGGCTACTGATACCTAGCCACGAATAGATTAAAAAAAATTATGGTTACTACCCGAGCGGCAGGATGATTGGAGGTAAGTTTTTCACAAGATGTCATGGAGGCTCACACTCAACGAAGCATATATGCATAAGTCTACACGGTTGGCGTATGAGTCTACTACCGATAGAATTCGCGTTATTTCGACAATGTGAGCGTGCACACAAATATTTATTTACATAATTTGAACTCGAAAAATGATGTTCAGTTGAGTACGAAAATCAATGCATCGTATTTAAATGTTTTATTTTGACCTCGCTTCGGCGGCCTTTGTAGTTGTGACATATAACCGTCACTGATATCGTCCCAATGTTCAACATATGGGTGGCATGTTTAATTATTTACTCGACCGTTTGCTTCATTATAGCCTTTAGGGTGCTTCTTTGGGATGTAGAGGTTGAAGTGGGTGATCAAGGAGTTGGATGGGACGGGGAGATGTGTGCTCTGGTCATTGTAAGATCAGTGGGAGGGATGGAGGGGAGTGAGGTCTTCGTACAGCATTGATATGTTGCGCATCAAATGCGAGAGAACATTTTGTAGTAAAAGAAACAATTTAGCTGTAGTCATCAAGTTTGCAAAGAAAGATATCTGCGCTGTTATGGAGGCACCGGGTAGGTGCAAACGAACATGGATTTAACTGGCGAGAATTTCAGTCATTCATACATTAATTTTCCCACTTCAATGTTTCCTGAAGCGAATTACAATTTGGTGGAAATAAAAAAGCTAAGAGTCGTGAATGGGCTCAGTATGGAGGCACTCATGTTTGGATTGTCGGATGACGAGGCGTGTGACATCTACGAGCTTGCCTTCGATGGTGTATACCTCGAAACACCTCGTGCTAGTACTGCGATTTTCATCCCATCCGAAGGTCGAGTAGATTTTGCAGTTCAGTGTTCAGCATCGGGCTTATTCTCATTGACCACTGTAGCCGACGAGCGGCTGGCTGAGCACGCACAAATCTGGGGACCAATTTCTGGTCAGCCGAGCAACATTACCAACACCCAAGCGCTATTTATGATTGTTGTATCCGACAAGGTCGATATTATGGAGCTTCCTGCAGTGTTGCCTGAACTTCCAACGTATCTACAAAAGGTGCGAAGCCGAAGTGAGAACAAAGGCTCGGAGTGGGAGACGACATTTTCAGTGGAGCTCTCCACATCAGAGGGAGCGAATGCCATCAATAATCAGCCATTCAATCCTAGCGAAACCCTGAACATCATTTAGCTAAACAAATACTATCAATGGAATCTGTCGGCAGGTGAAGGCTTCCAGAAAGGAGAGGGCTATCCTCAACACCCATACCATCAACACATCAACCACTTTCTTATCACCAATGACGACCCAATTACCGATGGTATGCTTTTCCGCAAAGGTGACTTCCGCGATACCATCCCTCTATTCGCCAGCACACCAGTGGACGTTCGCTTTTGTACACCTGATTATGTCGTCTTGGACACGAGGACAAGGGTAGTCGAGGAGTAGATATTCAAGTTTACTGCTCTTCTGGTAAACTGGAGATGATATGTTTGATCTAACTTCTTGCACTGAAAAATAGCTTCCCATAAATTGGCATCGCTCATTAATAATTGTCATTATATAAAGCTCAATAGTGCATTATTTCATTGTTCGTGCTACAGTTGTATGTTGAAATTTCTATGTGATCGGAACAAACACTTAAATGATGATCTTTACTAATTATAAGATGTGACGAATCTAGACCGATGCGGTAAATCATCATCATGGTAGTGTTCAAGATTATCTAAAACTGAACCCTGACATCTTGTGCACACGCACGGACAGAATAGCACCCGAAACTGCTCAGACCCTTGCCATATATGCTAGATTGAGTAGGTCAGTTGAGTTCAAATGTCTCTAAACACTGATACACTCCCTGTTTAAACTCAGACTCAAAATCTATCATGCGCAAATCTATACGGATGCACAATCGAGAATATATTACACTCACATAATTCTGTACATCTATAAATCTATTCTAGCTTGTCATGCTCAGGTAATATTTGCCCACATTCTTTTCAGTTTAAGAGCAAAAAAAACAACAGAATATATTCGAGGGCTATATATAGGTCAGCAGAATGCGTGAAGAACTCGCGTTTGGAAATGAGCATTGCTCCGGTGGATCTAACGTTTATTCTAAATTACGTATAGCATCGGCTATATGATTTTGTCAAAAGCCATACAGAATGAGCTGTCTCCTATACACTCCCATTATAACTGTCATTAAAGTGTAAACCTAAACTAGTTCATCCAGGCATTTCGAATTGTCTGTTTGCAATCGTCTATAGACCTAGGCATCACATAAGCCACAAGTGTTTGCGAGAAACTCTTAGATGTTATCCATCAGAACGGCATTTTTCCTCACGACGTATGCTCCCTTGTCGCTCGGACTTGATGCGTAGATACGCCCCTATACCATGAACAAGAAAACAAAAGAAGTTCGGGATTTGGTTAACACGAATTTCAAGGCCAATGTGTAACTATAGCGACAGAAAGAGTCGGACAAGGAGCGCTGAGACAATGTACTCGTCCAGTGACAATCCGCGTCTTAGATAACTCTAAATATGCACTGAAGTCGGCCATCATCATAGTTTCTAGGGCAAAACTGATTTGTCAAATTTCACGCCATGCATTTCAACGCGTAGGTGCACAACAGATACTTTCAACCCACAATCAATATGCTTATCCAAACGCTCAAAGTATTTCTTAGTGCGTGTAAGTGAACTACACGTTTATTTGAACTATAACCTAATCCAAGCATACGCAACACACCCAGCTGTGTTCAAGTGTACACTGCACACTGCATACCTTTAGGCCACAATCTGCCGCAGCCTGTAGCATAGCCTCTCCAACCTTGACATCCAAGCGCTCTTCCTTTATCTGATGGAATGCATCACCCTTAAGTCCTGCACATGCCACACACAAGGTGTGTACACGATGTACAGAGGAGTAAAAATTTGATTGAATGCGTCATCGCTTGTACCTGTGAACACTGTGCACTTATTGTCTAAGACGGACATTCAAACAGAGGGACGCTGTGTTTAAAGCAAAAGCTTCCCCTGTTTGTACCTGCAATTGTCATCTACAACGATTGTATGCACGAGTGGGACAACTAAATCAAAAGCCAAACCTCAATTTGGTAAGATGCGTCCGCTTTAGACAATGAATGAGTATAAAACGAGTAGCAAAATGACAATTCCCGTTGAGAGAGTGGCTATCGTCTGTTGAATGAGAGTCCACTCAATTCATTCTATTCAAGTGTGAACAGCAACAAATTGAACCTGCCAAAGCTAATTTGATATGCCATGGTCGGGTGCTTGTGTGCTCAAAAACACATCCACGATACACACCGCTTGTGATAGCCATGATAGTCGATCCAGAGCCACTCAGGAAAGCTCCGTGCGCTCCCGCTGCCAGTGCAGCCTGTGATTGAGGGTATAGATATTGGGACAAAGTATTTTCGTGTGTGTGATACACCTCTTGCTGAGTTGATGTACGGGCATGACCTGAAAAAAATATTTTATTTTGTGATACGTCTCTCACGTATTGAGAAATAGAGAAACATAATATTTGCAAGTATTATTAAGCAGCAACGTACTCCATGCAAAGTGTGGTGAGATAGATGCGCTGTACTAATATTAAGGATGAACAGGTTTTGGAGTCGATTGTCATTACAAAGCTGTCTCACTTCCTACTGGTATATGGAATACACCTCAGCATCTTCATGACTAGTGCGCACGCCGACAGGTATACATTCTGTCGCTAAAGAAATATTCTAAGGAGCATGGTGGAGATGTGCGTGCACATATAATGTTTATTTGAAAAAATGAATACGAAATAAGAAGCTTGTCTTACCTTAGTCGAGTATATTTGTCATCGGCGAAAGAAAGAAAAGTCAACTGACCAAACCAGCTTTTCATATACGTGAGAATGGTCCCTAAAAACAGCAAACCATAAACCAGGTCGAGCCAAATTTCCCCCCATGCACAGGTAAAATAGAAACATATATAGGATGCTGATATCGACTACATACATTGATTACTGGGTACAGAGCAGGATACGCTGTAGATCTGGGGATTTGGTGCATGGCATCTTCCGTAGCCAGGCGTAGCGCACCCATATCGTTCATGCAGAAGCTCCGCACCAACAGTGCTGTGCGAGCCATGTTGTACACCGCGTCTGACCGCGAAATCTGAAGGGTGTAAGCGAACTACATCAATGAAACTATGGAGATGTACATTTGTAACGTATCTTGGTATAGCGCGACTTCACGAGTTAATATGCGTGTAATTCTTTTTGAGTTCATTAATCTGTCATAGAAAATAGCATGTGTTGATTTTGAAGAGATTGAACTCGGCATGTACGGATAGAGTGGCGAAAGAAAATTTAACTTCAGCATCGCGGGTTTTTTTGGCATCGAGAGTTTACTATGGGTGTGATTTTGATAATTGTCTTCAAAATCTGAAGCATTGAACAATAATGGAACAACAAATACTGGAATTTTGACCAAATGGAAGGCATTTGCAACTAGTACGGTTCATTTGCAACTAGTACGGTTGCATGTACGTATCGATATTCAAAACAACTGAAGAGCCAAAGAGATTCTGTACCTATAATTTGGTCGAGAGGAAGGTATTTCCATATGACATCGTTCGACTACTGTGACTATTTCTCAGGTGCCTGAAGCGAACTAACAGTCGTGGATATAACAGGTGGTTATGTTTGGCCGAGAAGTGATTGATTCATTGGTATCTCGCAACTACTAAGAGTTCCTCCGTATGCACATAATATATACGCCACTCGTCTTGTCACGAAATACAACAGATCTTCGGACGTACGAGCTTCTATCTCTGGCAGAGCTTAAATTGTATAGTGCCGAATATTTAGCAGCACAACCTACCGTGTCTTTAACAAGCCCTCGCGCGGTTTTTGTCTCGATCTTGAGGTCGGGCACAAACATGACGCATTGCAATCCAGATGGAATGTTGATGCGGAATGTGCTGTGTAGTGGGAAGTGAAGGATGAGGACGTGTCTGGACATAGCAACAGTCGATGGCTAAGCATGGCCACTAATTTCGTAACAAACTGTGATATATGAATGATAACATGATCTTGATAGAATGCAAATAAGTGCGTGTGGTTGATTCTACAAACGAATGCGCAGAAGTTTGCACTCTTCCCTGACAAGCTCCAAAAGGGAGAAACCGCAAGGGCAGAACGATCTATGGTAAACGCCGCATGTGATAACTTCAAAAAATCTAAGTATATGCACTTGTAAATATTCCCACATATTCCCATATATACATCATAATATAAAGTATGTAAACCTATGTATTTGTCGATATGCGCATATACTTAGAAACACCAAATTACCTCCATCTCGCCTCCACGTTGTCGAATATACCGAGCTGGAATCCACCGTAAACGCAAGGTGCACTGTTATCCGGATGTCCCTATTTGTCCAGATAAAAAAGCAGCCAACAACCGTGAGAGATGCGAAGACGTTTCGAGCAAGAATACTCAATGCAAATTTGCCAACTTCCCCCGATCGAATAGGAGCGTCTCGGAAGCGGACCACGCCCACTACATACATTGGAATTATGAATGTCCGTGTAGACGCTACACGCCATCGATAGCACGCTGGAGTTATATAAAATTAGTTAAGAACTCGTACTCGAGGAATAGCCGTGACACTTTACACCGTTACACCCTCGTCCGACAAGGTAAGCATTGACGCAGTTGAAGCTAGAATGTAGGCAAATGTGAGTTATACTTTATAACCAAAAAACTAAACCGGCCACTGCCTGTACGTATACGGGAGAACAATACTAATCCTACCTCGATATCTGCAGCGATATTCAGCAGCTTCTCGTGGCCTTCGACTTCGAGCTCGTGCCCAGCCAGCACCAGCCCGGCGATCAGACCGGCTACGATGGCGGCACTACTTGATCCCAACCTATTCGCATAAAGCGAGTTCAGAATTAGAGATAAACGCACCTACAAATCGATACCAACTTCGTACATCCATTTCAGTTTTGGGAGCGCAGTTTCCGCCTAGGTGTATATACCATGGAGTGCAAATCCGTCACAATGGCCAGGATATACCATGGAGTGTAAATCCATCACAATAGCCAGGAAAGCGATAGTCAGTTTCAGTCTATCGAATAAACACATACACATGCTACAATGAATACATGGTTCGCATTCACAGATTCGAATACAGCTCCACGAAATCAGTCAGAAAACAGGTAGTGAGTCTCATTCTTTCGATTAGGCACATACCCGCGGGCGAAGGGGATTTTGTTGATAAGTGTGTATTTGAAGGGAGGTGGGGTTCCACTACCGCTCAATTCAAACGCCTTCTCCACACCGGTCACCACTAGATTGGTGGAATCCCGAGGCAACTCTTCCGCACCCTCGCCTTGTATGGATTGAGAATGTTGAATCATATTGGTCACGTTTGCTGCATCATCTTGAAACTAATAATCAGTTCAGATTTCCTTGCAAACATGGTCTCAAATGTCCTAACAATTCGGTAATAGATCAGATAAATGTACACCCCTATTCAAGTTGCTAGGGAAGTATAAACGCTTAGCACACGTCTTAAGTGTAGCAGAGAATTACCACTCGTACTTCGAATTCCGGTGTATCCCACAGTTAAAAGAATGATCTATACAATATCTATTATCAATTACGCACGCCATACCTTTGATGTCCATGCTGAACTCCTCAGCAGCCTCAACTATGAGTTCATTCCAGAGATCCACGGCCATACCTATACGATCAAATGAACCTTGATGTAAGTGATAGTGTACACATATCTACTCATAGAAGGGTTTTGGAAGGATGGAACATCAAGAAAGGCATGAATTTGCTATATAAATAAATGTATATGTGAGAGTAGCACCAACACACACACACACACACATATATATAAATAGATATAGATATATATATAATATTGATATATATAAACTATGTGAGTGTGTGTCCGTTTACTTTGTATGTGTGCGACTATGTCTGATATTGTATATCCGTCTACATATATGAATAGCATCTATATAACAGAGTATTGGATCCCTATGTATTGAGTTCCACAGATGTAGAAATGTATGTTTTAGATAGAAAACCCGATAATACATCCATATAGCTATCCAGGCGTATATATTCGAACATGTACTTATCCACATGCATGTATATCAATATATATATATATATATATGTGTGTGTGCATATATATATATATATAATAAAAATATAAATATGCATGTATGTATGCATATATATATGTATATAAATATAAATATATATATAAATATGTGTGTTTGTGTGTGTGTGTGTGTAGATATACATATATATA